AAAAAAAAATGATCACATTCAATGAAAGTCTCTTTTATAACCTGTACTTTTGATCATTTGAAAAGCACACAAAGGCAGCGCACAAAGCGAACACCAAAGTAGCCATAAAAATGTATTTCCACACATTAAGTGATCTCCAATAGTCATTTATTTAGAGAAGAAAGAGGCAGAGCTGTTTAGAGATGCAAAAGTAGTCGACGAGTCACCTATTCTTTATAAATTTAGTCCTGACGGAAAGCTGCTAAAAGTCTGCATGGGGTTAAAATTGTAATTATTTTTGTGCAAATTGTATAAAATTATGGAAAAAGAAAAGCTTTACTTTGCTATGTTAATGTAATTTATACAGGACTTATGAAATAGCTAATTGATAGCAGCAATTAGAGTTTATAATGAAAAGCTATGAATTTCTAGTTTTAATTTAATACATAATCACTATAAATTCCTGGTTATTTAGATCAGTGGTTCTCAAAGTGGGAGTTTGGACCCCTCGAGGGTTGCGGGACAATGAAGAAGGTCCATAACCTACTAAAAATTGTTTTTTAAAGTTACTATATACTATATGGTAGCTTATAGTTACTAGTTTGGATTGTGACCCCTGAGGTAATTAAATTATATTAAAGACACAGCAAAAGCATCAGATGCAGCAGATTAATTTTATAACACTAGGTTAAACTTTCTAGCACATTTACAGCACTGACATGCATTAAAAAAAAAAAAAAATTAACAAAGATTACACTTGGGTCTATTGGTGTGTGCGCGCCATTGCATGCAAGGTTTCTGTATTTATATCCACCTCAGAGGATATTGGGGGTCGCGAGTCACTGACATTGTTATTTTGGGGGTCGCAGGCTGAAAAAGTTTGGGAACCCCTGATCTAGATATTACAGTATATTGTACATTTCCCTGTAGACGTCACAAGTATGATTAAAAATCGATTTAAAAATGCATTATTTGTCATGAATTATATTTAATTATCTAACAATTGTAATCTTCCTATTGAACAGAATATATCACACTGTAAAACCCAACAGTCAACATTGTCAAATGAAATGAGTGTAGTTAACTCAAAGTTAACTGAAAGTTAATTCTACTTATTGGAAAAGAGTTTTGTACTCAGTGTTGAAGGTAATGAGTTAATTAAATATTTCATTACTTCAACTTAAAAGGAGTAAGTTGACAATACTCGTATAGATTATTTTTTTACTCAAATGGTTTGTTGCAATGGGTTTCCTTAAACGGTTTGAGTTGCCTTAACTAATTGGGTTTTACAGTACTCAATTGGTTTGAGTTATCTTCATTTATTGGATTTTACTGTGCTCAGATTGCTTCATTTACTCAAATGGATTAAGTTCACAGTATATTAGGCTTAGTTTTTTAACTTAAATGGTTTATTGAAATCAGTTTCCTCAACTGGTTAAATTATTCTTAACTTTTTGGGTTTTACAGTGTAGATAAATTAAAATTCTTGTAAATTTATATATCTGAAAAAAATAAAATAAATAGGGCGTTAATTCTCAACTGAATTTAAACTCTTTAAATAAAGATTCTTTATTGACGTTGATGGCTCCATGAATAAAACAATACTGAAATGTCAAAAATGAACTAACTAACTAACTAACTAACTAAACAAATAAACAAACAAACAAACAAACAAATAGATAAATAAATAAATAAATAATTAAAACATATTTTCTTCATTAAGGCTTTATTAGCAAATATTAACAAGGAATTGTTAAAAAATTATATGAAATAAAACTGACTGTTTCTCTATATTTGGCTGTTTGGCTATTTCTAAGAAATTTCTTTTGGATTATTAAACATTTGTTCACTGTAAGAAAAAGGATATTGATACTATCTAAAAAACATTTATGTACTTTTTCAATAATCAATAATTCGACAACACTAATCATAAACATTTGTCTGTTACCAACCATTGGCTTTCTATCATCATTTAACTAATGCGTATGTCTTTTCAAGGTCATTTAATTGTTGAACAGTACTATTATATTTTACTTGTATTATATAATATAATTATTTTTTTCATCAAATCAGATGGTTGTGTGTCATGGGTTTTCAAATGGGCCATGTGAAACAACAACGAACCTCATTGGTTCTCACGTGTCAAGCAAGCATACTTGAGCTTCCATGACTTTTTTTGCTGATCAGTGTTTATATGTAAAGTACAGTGTAAATCCAATATATTCATCTTATGAAGCAATCAATTAGGAAGTCAATAGTTATATGTTTACATTTCCACATAGAATATTTCTTAATCTCTTTGCAAAAATGTTGAAGTCTCACAGTTTTGGGTGAACAGTCCTTTAATGTGAGTAGAGAAATATCTCATGTTTCATTTAAAAACGTCTGCATATGTTTCAAAGGTGAAACAAAGTCTTATGGATTTAATACAACATGAGAATTAGTAAATGATGACCAAATCTCATTTTGGATGAACTATAATTGAAAAAAAAAAAGTACATTTCAAAAGCACACACACAACACAAAAAATATGTGTTTCTTACTTTGAGATTCTGTATTGTTGCTATTCCAAAAAATCTTTTAAAAAATCTTAAATCAAGAAACCTTTTCTAGACAAATTAAAAAACCGTCTTGTTTTCAGAAATAACATTAATTAAAATTACAGTAAGTGAGTTTTTCCTTAAAACAAGCTAAACAATCTGGCAATGCGGTAATCAATAGAATCTTGTTTAGCTTTGTAATAAGATTGTTGCTCACCCTATCGATACCAAATTGATTATTTAGCTTATTTAATTTAGATTTTTTATTTCTGAAACCAGATAACATTTTATGCTTATCCAGAAAATGTTTCTAAGCTTTTAGAATTTTTAGATATTTGCACTTGAAACGAGACAAAAACGTTAAGTAAGATTATATTTTTTGCAGTGCAATTATTTAGTCAACCTATTAATAAAACATTATTAAAAAGACTCCAAAATCTGTACCTATAAAGTAATATCCGGTTTCTATCTCTGAATCAGCACCTTCTAATGTCCGCTTTACAGCATGAAACCATTTGGTGAATTCAAGACTTCTCACCTTTAATGCATTCTCATGCAGAACGTGGTCTTCTACAAATTCTCCCGCATTAGATACCAAATTAGAAAATATCCCGTCTAATAACATCAGCTGCCCTTTAAATTATTCTCTTGAACCTGCAGCACTCCATCATGCAGCGGAGTTAATTAAGCTATGGAGAGAGTAATAAAGAAGATGGATGTGGAGCAGTCAGAGACTCGCGGCCCCTCCACACGACAACAACTGAAGCCTCGTAAGGTCAGAGACCAGCGATTGATGGATCTGTCAGCCAATCGTCTTACGATGACAGTCAACTTCCTCCCCACTGAATTGGATTGTTCCTGCCCTGCAGTGCCATGAGTTTGGGGTACCGGCCTTGCTATGAATGTGGCGAATCGGAAAATGGCTGTCTGCTATTTGCCGTCAATGACATAATGCAAAGAGCCAGCCAATCAGGGTTATAGTAGATTGACTCGAATAAGACTGATAAAATAAAACAAAAATAGTAAACAAAATAGTGAAGTGGTGAATTGGAAATTGTTGTCTATATTTTGCTCTTAATGCCGTATATGCAAAAAGCCAGCCAATCAGAGTCATGGCAGACTGACTGAAATATCACTGTAAAAAAAAATAATAATAATAAAAAAAAAATAAATAAATAAATAAATAAATAAAATACAAAATAATAAAATAAAATAAAATGAAAAATAATAAAATAAAATAAAATAAATTAAATTAAATTAAAAAAGTTGTGTATTGGAAATGGAAACTGATGTCTGTTATTTGCTGTCAATGTCAAATTGATTTCAAAAACACGGTACAATAAAACAAAATAAATAAAATAAAATAATGAATGAGTAAATTAAATAAAATAATAAATTGATAAAAAATAAAACAAAATAATGAATGAATAAAGACAAATAAAATAAAATTAAATAATGAATAAATAAATAAATTAATATAAAATAAAAATAAAATAAAATAAAATAAAATAAAATAAAATAAAATAAAATAAAATAAAATAAAATTAAATTAAATTAAATTAAATTAAATTAAATTAAATTAAATTAAATTAAATAAAAAAAGTTGTGTATTGGAAATGGCTCCTTGTTATTTGCTGTTTATTTTGCTATTTTATTTTTATTGTTAGTTTATTGTGGTTTAAACTATTAATAAATACTACAATACTATCATGATGCAAGAGTGTGAAAATTATTTACACAAATTTATATATATTATATACACAATTAAAATATAAATTGCATTTTGTCTACAAAAGCGTAATTATGCTTAATTACTGTCATATGCTAGTATCAAATTAAATGCAGCTAAATAAAAAAATATATATATAATAATTAAGTAAATAAATCAATAAAATAAAATGAAATGCATCAAAATAATTGGTGTATAGTATTTCACACAGCATGGCCCTCACATTCTGCACTAGGTCATTCAAGGTTAAAATGCATTTATCAAATACAGCTCTTAATGTAGAAACTATTAGGATTATAGTTTGCTGTTCTGAACACTGCCTCAGTCTCATTATTCTATTGGCTGGAACAGGCTTTTTTCATTGACATGTGAAAAAGGTGGCAGTTGAAGCAATTAGCTGTCAGTCGTACTGTAGCTTTCAAAACAGCCGTAACAAGATGCCTGAATGTGTTTTACTGAATCTCATTTTTTGATATCTCATTATCAGCCCATATAAATGATGACTGAATCAGACTGAATCTGGCCCCGAACAACCCGTGCTTATGTGAGATGCAGACAGAGCGAGAGAGAAACAAGAATGAAAAGAAAAAAACACAAGCAGCCTTTCTCCTCGGGGAAAACATTTCCATTTTGATCATGTTATCAGCCAGGAGAACAAGAGCCGGCGTACTGTTCGTGCTGTCAGGTCTGCAGTGTCCTGTTTGCCTGGACCTGATCTGGAGCTGCTGGTTTGATCAGAGTATGTGACTTACAGGCAAAGGTTAGACTGGCCTCCCTGCTGACAATCGTCCCGAAGGAGTTAGAAGCAAGGCACTGGTACGTCCCGGCGTCCATGTCTTTATTGAGGTGGTTGATGCGAAGGTTTCCTCCAGTGAGGCTGTGATGGGAGCCGGGTTTAGGGTTGACCACGCTGCCATTTAGCTTCCACCTGCAAGACAAAGCAGTTCACAGTTCACAGATTTCAATGTGAACTCATATATTTCCTCGTACATGACCTTTCATCATCAAATCATATCAGCAAGGCTTGTTTACTGCAGTGGCGTAGCGGACAGGCCCGCAGGGCACGCACCGCGGGGAGGCCCCGCGTGATTAGGGGGCCACATGTTGTCGCTATTTTAAATAATTGAAAATCTAGGAACCGCAATAATCAAACTCTTGGGAACAACTGTGGTCGGAACCAAAGTTTACAGGTCTGTGTTCTCTGAACTCCGCTCAAGCGGTGGACTACTTCATTCTGATTGCTTGCTGCCGAACCGCGTCATAGCCAATGAAGACGCGCCGATGTTTCTCGCGGCCGGTTCTCGTTAAAAAATGAATGACTTCTGGCTACTTTGACGCTCTCGCCAATTTCGGTTTGTGATCGCTCCTCAGTTTGTGAAGGATTCCCCGTGTTGTCGCGCCACCCTGCCTCCTTTCCCCGCTCCTCAATTTGTGACATAGATATATACACTAGATATCGCATAGGGACCCTGAGCATGCGTCTATAGCGCCGACATTGGTACAGTGCTCCCAGGACAAATGTCATTCAACCGCACTAGTCAAGACAGTGTTATTACGTGAAGATGCGGGACTTAAGCGCTGTCTACGAGTGTAGTAACGAGAAAACAAAGAAAACAAAGCACAAAGGCAGAACATTTCATAGGATTAAGTTTTTTACGTTTTTGTATGTTCTGAAATTTGTGCTAAACAGGTCACGTTATTGATAATAATAGCTATAGTCACTTACTGCATTCACCATAAGGCAAAGTAGCACCAACTCGCCCTAAACACTCGGTTTATGCTAGGTTTGTTGAATAAATCAGCAAACAATGCAAAAGAAATATGACAAAGAGATGCTGCGGTGCTAGAAACTTGTATTATTGTCGGCTAGCGAACCTCCGTCAGTATGAGAAGTGAAAGCAGGAGAGGAGGTATATAAGTGAATAGTACATTTCCATACACACAAACACAAGCTTTTTGTCAGGAATGCCCGTGCGATAAGTGATCCATCATGGTGGAAAAGTGATGTCAAATACAAATTTTTATAATTAAAAAAAAATGATGCATACTAACATCCAGGAAAAACTCCCGATTAGATATATGTGTATATATGTATATCTATGTGTATATGTATATAAAAATAATAATACTGCCTTGTATGTATGCATATGTATAGATATATGTATGTGTGTACACACACACACACACACACACACACACACACATACACAGTTCAAGTCTGAGTTATTGGCCCTCCTGAATTATTATCCCCCTTCACTACTAGTATATTTCTCCCCAATTTCTGTTTAACAGAAAGATTATTTTTTTTAAACACACTTTTAAACATAATCATTTATCATTTACACCAAAAGTCCAATAACTGATTTCTTTCATCTTTGCCATGATGATAGCACATATTTTACTAGATATTTTTCAAGGTTCAGCTTAAAGTGGAATATAAAGGCTTAACCAGGTTAATAAAGTTGATTAGGCAAGTTAGCGTAATTTGGCAAATCATTTTATAGTGATGTTTTTTTTTTTCTGTAGTCAATCGAAAAAATTATATTGCTTAAGGAGGTTAATAATACTGATCCTAATATGTTTTTTTTTTTTAAATTAGAACAGTTTTTACTCTTGTTAAAATAAAAACAAAAACAATTAAAAACAAATAAGACTTCCTCCAGAAGAAAAAAGTATTATCTGAAAAACTGTGAAAAATTCCTTGCTATACATACAGTGCTCAACTGCGCAAATGAGTACATCCCATTTAAATAATGATATTTTTTTTTCCCAATTGTCAGTGATTATAGGTAATGCATTTTGGTGCATAACAATAATTTAATCACCAAACTTATTTATAAATGGAAAAATAATACATTGAAAATTAAGCTAAATATTGCAAAAAAAATTAACTATAACCTAAAAAAAAATTCTTTTTTTGTTTCTCTTGATTTTTCCTTTTTTTTTTGTATTTTTGTTTAATTTTATTTATTTATTTATTTTTGTTTAATATAATATACACATACATTAATATATACACATATAATATATACACATATAATATATACAGTGTACTTGTTTTTGGACTGTTATCGTAAGTTATTTTGTTAGATTAGCTCCGGATTTGGCTTCAGTACTGACTAATTTAATGTATATGCACAAATATAATATTTTATAGCTTCTTATTAAAAATATGAATTTAGAAGAGAGATTTCTGAGGGGTGAACTTTTATATACTGAGCAGTGAATAGACATACATATATTATACATATTCTATACACTTCATACTATACTACGAAATTGTCATTGTAATTATATTTTCTCCTTTTTGTAAGTCAGTCTGGATAAACCCATCAGACAATCTGTAAAATATGTAATGTATCAAATGTAAAAAGCACTTATTATTCTCTACAGTAATACTACTGTAAATCCTCACAAATCCTCAAACAGTATAGTCAGTCTCTGCAAAAAATAAATAAATAAATAAAAAAAATGTAAAAATAAAGAAAGAAATGGTCTGGATGCAGGATGTTTGACACAACTATCGGGTGTTATCAGACAAGTGAGTACAAATCTGGGCTGGTGACACAAAAAGTTGTAAGTGTGATCCCACATAGAGACAAGCAGTGAACCACACTGAGTTACAGATACGCACGGCTGTTATTAGACTCCAGGGTAAAGCACTTAGTACACTACACCAACTCCGAGGGGATTGTCCTCGCAATTAGTACACTGTAAAGTGCTTTGCATAAAAAGTGTCTGCTAAATGAAAAGCAACCAGCTGTGGTCCTGATAAATTCAGAAGCCTGTGTTTTTTTTTCTCTACCCTCCAACACTAAGATTAATGCCCAGAATGGCACGGCTTGTGACCATCCATCTTGTTGAGCACAAAGTCATACAGCATCAAATGTGAGCTTTATCACAGTAGAGCACCAATTAAAACTGATATTTGCAGCGAGCCCCTCTGTATTCTATAGCACGCGGTGTGATTACAACAGGAATTGACTGAGATTAGTGAAGGATAGAATTCATTTAATTTATCAGGTGTATTCTCCAACCCTCCAAACAGCATTATTAAAACAAACAAGCCGGCGAATCAATACAAAAACCCGCATATAAACTAGAGTTTGAAATATAGCTCTCTTTTTAGCATTTACAGTGGTGATGGCATAAAGGCAATGCTTGGAGGTTATGTACTGTGTGTAATGTGGGGTTGAATGATTCATTGAAATCAAATTGTGAGTGCGATATGGCTTTGAGCAATTATCCTATCACAATTTAATGAAATAAATATGTGCTGTTTGCTTTACTGTGAACATGCAAGTGAGTTCATCATTTAGTGTTTTGATTTTAGGAGTTCAAGTGCTGAAATTGGTAGGATAATTAAAATTGGTAAGGATTTTTATAAGAGATATGAAACTCTGAGGGTTGGTAGTACCCATGGCATCTATATCATCTTTAACAGGGGTGTCCAAACTTGGTCCCGGAGGGCCGGTGCCCTGCTGAGTTTAGTTCCAACTTGCCTTAACACAACTGCCAGGAATTTAGCCTATCTAGTAACTGGCGCAGTCACACTGCACTTTTTGCCCCATAGACTTCCATTCATAAGCATACAACAGTGGCAGACCGGATCGCAAGCTTGTGTGAAAAGTTTCACATTTCACTGCATTTGAAAGTCCAAGCTTGGTGAAATCTAACCTGCGAAATCGCATCACGTGATTGTGTGTGACCAATAGAAGCTCAAAACATGAGCTCTCTGTACAGAAATGTAAATATGGAGTAATTGCTTGCTTCATCAATATTGTTTTTATCCCACCCTTTTTTACACTGCAGAATGACAGAATTTCACAAGCACAAACTAGTGTGACCACGGCTTAAGAGCTTGATTAGCTGGTTCAGGTGTGTTTGATTAGAGTTGGAGCTAAACTTTCCAGGACACCGGCCCTCCAAGAGCAAGTTTGGACACCACTGGTCTATAAAAATGCTTATTTTATACAGACTGATAGTGGTGCTAAAGCAATTCAAAGTACTAAGTCACTCATAATATCTTCTTAAGTTATATATAAGGACTTGCTAGGTGATCTGTATGAAAAGCAATACCGTCTTGTGGATGAGCACAAGAAGAAAGTGTATCTGAAAGATACAGTATTTCAGATTTGTAGAAATGTAGACAGTGTTCTCTAGTGGATTTGTCATCTGAAACGTACAATGAAAGGAAGCTGAAACAATGTATTTTATTATTTTGTATTTTGCTTCTTTGGAATCCTTAACTAACTAAATGCATTTTTCTTATTTGGTTGCTAGATTTTGGTTGCTAGATGGCAATTTTTTTGAAAATTTGAATGTTTTTGTTTAATACTTTTGTAAACTATTTAAAAGTTTTTCATCTTATTGGATTTAAACAAGGGCAAAGATATTCTCTAGAGCAGGGGTGACCAAACTCGTCGTGGAGGGCTGGTGTCCTGCATAGTTTAGCTTCAAAATCCTACAACACACCTGCCTGGAAGTTTCTAGTAACCTAGAAAGAGCGTGATTAGCTAGTTAAAGTGTGTTTAATTGGGGTTAAAACTAAAATATACTGGACACCGGCCCTCCAGGACCGAGTTTGGACACCCTTGCTCTAGAAAACCTAAAATTAGACTGAAAAATACTAACAAAAGACAAAAAAAAAAAAAAAAACAACGTTTGTATTTATATCTACGTTTCCATCCACCATTTTGGATATGCACATACAAGCGGTTGATGGAAATGCCAAGATGCCCATTACTTTTTAAAATGTACATAAAAAACATATGCGCTTAACCAAGTAGGATAAACTTTTTATTCAATAAGAAAAGATGCGCATAAACTGCGATGGAAACACTTTTACCATACATATTCCAGTATGCGCATTAAAAAACTTAATGTGATTTTGTTATAAGAGATCATGTGATCATAAAAATGTGGGCT